TTAACTTTTCTTGATTAATAATAAAATGATTTTATATGCAATATGTCGTTAAATTTGGTTTATAAATAAAAAAGTTATAAGTTATATTTGTTTTTGTTTTTTTTTATATATAAAATCATATCCGTGAAGAACAGAAGATATCAAATATCATTATATGACTTATATTTTATAAAGTAAGTGGTTTTTTTTTGTCTGGATTACAGTGAAATAACATGCAAATAATCGTTAAATTTTGTACAATTAATAATAAATCATTTTTATTCCATCATACAACAAGATGACTTAAATAATTTTCTTTGAAAATATATATTTTGGGGCCGGAATGACCGATTTTGGGGCCGCATTGACCAATTTTGGGGCCGCATTGACCAAATAAAAATACTGTGGGGCCGGATTGACCAATTTTGGGGCCGGGTTGACCAATTTTGAGGCCGGGTTGACTTGGGGCCGGGTTAACTTGAGGCCGGGTTGACTGTAATTCGATAACAGAGTCAATTATCACTGAAAATACTTAAAATGAGTTTTTTTTGCTTAGTAGATTAATCAACCTTTTCTGAACACACTTGTGATTTAATTTTGGAAGCAGTTAGTAAAAAAAATGTGTTTTTAAACATTTTAAAAAAGTACCTATAATATTTTTATCTGCTATTCGCATAACCTGTCAATTATCGATTATTCTCCGTCCCCTGTTGAGGCATCAATTAGGGAAATCGGTAGTTTCATAATTACATCCGTGAATTACTGGGCCATACTACTTGTAATACATGTATCGTACAAAATTTGAAATACTGTACAACTTTTATGAATATCTTGACATTTATCATCTAACTTTTATTTAGTCTTTTTATAAATAAAGAAATAGTCGGCCAAGATGTAACATAAATAATTTAGAATAGTGGCAAATCACACGACCAATGTGATGGTAAAAACTATGTAGCTGCCTGTTATATCAATAATGTTTGAAATAATAATTTGTTTGTCCTGTAATCTGATAGACGTAAGTCGTTACATTGAGTTTATCGACAATTGTACGAATCAAATAGCTTTCTCGTTTCAACCTCGTTTTCTTACAATATAAAATGAAACAGACAACATTTTTTATGTAAATGCCTGAATGAGTGGGGATGACAAATTTCTAAAATATTTTATGATAATCTGCGGATGATATTTTTTTATGAATCCATAGAAAAATCGGACAGATATGGAAATATATTTTTAGTGAAGGTTTTGAATATAATGTTTGCCAGTAAATCGAACACTGAGACAAAGTATGAAATTCATTTTGTGTCCTAGAAGAAACTGAATCGAGATCTGTGCCGTGTATAGATGAATATTCATGATAATTAAAATCAAGGTCAGATCATATTGATTGAGTGATACCTTTTATTTCTATAAAATATGTCAGGCTGTTATAATTATATGAATTGGTCGAACAAAAATATATAATATCCCGTTAATATTTGTACATTGTACCACAGACTTTAGCTCAGTTTTTCGTTATTTTAATTAATATTTAACAGAATTTCATTCATGAATACAGAGGCAGTGTGACACTAATATAATATAATAATGATGATGATAATAATAAATTTCGAAAGTGAAACAAATAAATTATCCCACTGGCTGTACGCACGTTAAATGCAATCCATTTCCCCCCATAGAGTGCCTCAAATTTTTCCAATAGTCATGTGACATCTGAGACAGATACCAGACGGACAGTATATCACATTAAGATTTGAAGAAATTTCTGCTATAAAATGATATTAATCAGCTGAATTTTAATAGGTCAGATGTCACTGGGTCATAAAAAGTTGTTAGAATATGTTACCGTATCTTGTGGCCCCTTTGGTGTAATATTTGCGCGTTATGCAATAATTTAGTGTGAAACGCAGGGGTCCGAGAGAGAACAAACGAGTTATGTATGGTGAAAAAAGTTGCATAAAATGTTTGACGTTATGTAATATTTTTTTGAGAAAAGATAGAAATAATCTGAGACAAGGTTCCCTAGCTATTATAATTATGTTTATATTCCAAAAGTTTGATGACAAAAAAATAACTTTGATGGGATGATTTAAAATAATAGGATTTTTGTTCAAAATTTATTATTTACAAAGGCATTTTTTCAAATATGTTATTTTTTTATGAAGATCAAAGACATTTAATGCACAAGATTTAAATAACAATTGTTACTAAAATAAGTTGGTATAGCAGTGTTCGAAATTAGCAGTAGTCCCCTGGCTACTAAATTTCTCCTTGGGCTACCAACTTTTCACAGTAACAAGCCCGGCCAGGCTACTGTATTTTCAGAGGCAATATAAACAGCTGTTTAGAACAAATGAATCGTGCTAGTGAAATGTCTTTTGGGCTAGTGAATATTTCACTCTGGTAGTCCAACCAGTCTAGTGGATTCAAATCCTAATTTCTTATGCTGGTATAAGTAACAAAAGTTCACTATGTAATCTCACAGTAATGCAGGGATCTTTTTGCCTTATTTTATAGCGTATATTCGGTCATGTTTCCAATTGATAATATTATATTATTTTCCCAAACCACAGGAAAATATTCCCAAATGAAAGTTACGAAATAAAAATATTGAATAACAAATATTAAAATCTTTGAAAATAAGAACTTCTTCACTGTTATATTGCTTAATTCTGTGGAGATGCCATCCCAGACTTCCCGAAATACGTCGGTCCGACGGACATGTCCGATAAATTTTGATCAGGTCCGACAATTTTTTATTCCGGATCGGTCCGACTGTCCGGCTTTTATCCAAGCCGCATGTATACAAAATGGCGTCGCTAAAAGTGCCAAACCTGGGAAAAAACGAAAATCTATGTCAGAAAAGTGCGCAGAACAGCAATAAAAGGATGAAAAGAATAGACCTGAGACAAAATTTAATGAAAAATGGAAGCAGAACCATGAATCATTGGTGTATGACAGGGAGGAGATGAAAATGCACAGTACGGATTGTGCCGATTTTTACGGCGAAAAAATAAAAAACAAAAAGTGTCTTAGAAATACAAACACAAGTTTTTCATTGATTTTGATCAATTTTATTTGGTCCGACAGATTTTGTTTCGGTCCGACAGATTTTCATGGTTTGTCAGACCGAATGTCTGACAGTTTTTTTCAACTTTCGGGAAGTCTGCCATCCTAGACATGCATTCATTTAATCATTGCAAAATTTCAGTCATGCATTTTTTACCAATTTTTAACAAAACATTGCTGAAATTCTCAATTCCATGGGTATGGGTCATGTTCCCAAAATCCTGGAGAAAAAAAACCTGCATGTGCATATTTAGGAAATAGATATCAATTCTGAGTGCATTGTTGTAGAATAATGCACGGTTTGAGTTCAAATGCGTAGTAATATAATCACGAAGGCCGATAGGCCTGAGTGATTAATTACAAAGCATTTGAACGAAAAACGTGCATTATTATACAATAATGCACGAAGAATTAATATCTATTTCCATTCTAACACGTCAAGAAAAAATATAATTATTATTATAAAGTTGGACTTTATGTTTGGTGGTTAAATTTGTTTTCGCCTCAGAGTTGCCAATAGAAACGTTCTTTAAAGGCTGTTCCAGTGGGTTGAAAAAAAACTGTCGTTAAATCTACCGTGTATAGAAACATTTTGAGAATAACGAATTTTGAAAACGTTGATAAAACTTTGTTTGGTTATTTTATTTCAGTCTATAATTTTCCAAGCGAAATACAAATTATCAAAAGTGAAATAAATGTAAAACTTAACTCGTCTGCGACGTTAAAATAGCTTACTTGATTTTGATTGTTTTGCACGTGCTGTTTGGCGCTACATTGTGACGTCACGTAAACAACACTTTAAACGTCTGTACAGCGTTAACGACTAAATTAAAGATATTGGTGTTTGGATTTATTTTCTTAGTAAGACCATTTTCTTTCATTCTAGATAGTTTTCACAACAAAATTCGACAAAAAATTGTTTTAATTTACCAGATTTTTCAAACAAAATGGCGCCCTTAATGTGAAAATACACAGGGAGATAATAAGAACGGCGAGTGCATTGTTGCAGAATAATGCACGCTTCGGGCCTTCTTTGTTTATATAGAAAAATTTCCGATAGTGTTAGAATTGTTTACAATTCACTTACCAGGTATTAAACCACTAAATATAAAAATGCAAAAAAAAATTAAGGAGGTCTTTTATATTTTTATTGATCTGAATTGTTCACAGTAACTGTTGGTAATATAACAAAATATCAAATGATATTTTGGACATGGTATCAATCATTCTGACTGATACACACCCCTTCCTAATGATGGTGTATATTGTTAAACCTCACTCGCTTGAAATATCTATTGCAAGAAATCCACGGTGTTGTAAATGAAAGGCAGTTTCACATTATCATATATTCATTTTATTGGCTTCATTGTAATATCAACGTAATCCGCGTCTCGTGATTAGTATACATGTATATGCATAATGTGATACTCAATAATTCACAACCAATGATCATGAATTCAATATTTTAGTAAAATGAAATATATTACATAATTTTTACAAGTAGAAAATCTTGGATTTTTTTTACTTTTCCTAAAATCTTAGTACATATTTCTGAGGTTTGATTTTTTTGAAATATTTTGGCTCATCTGGAGGCATGGAGCTTTACTTGATAACAAAGTTGCTAACTTTCAGTTTCACTATTCAACAAATTAATTAGGAATCCTAATATAGTTCTTAAGTCATTAGTCGACATTGATCGTATTATCATGTTGGACCTAATTTCCTATACACATCTGTAATCAGTCTCTATTGGTCATATTATCATGTTGTACCTATACTCATCAATTCTGTAATCAGTTTCTATTGGTCAAATTATCATGTTGGACCTATAACCAGCATGGGCATACCTTTTGTTACACAGGTAAATGCCTTGTTACTATTTATAGATTAATGGTTTATTATAGTACAATAAGCACAGCCAGATATTGAGTATGTTTAACACATCTTGAAGGTGTTATTTCTTGCTTGTTGATATAATTATAGATATAACAGAGTGGATAGTAATAAATGCTGTGGATTATTTGAGAATATTTATTTATGTACATGTATGTTGAGTGAATTTGTGAATATTTGATCTTTTGAAAGGTTTGTAAAAATTTCATTTTCATTGATATTATTTTTTTTAACCCTTAAACACTGTTAAAGGGACTTCACTGGGGTTTCTTGACATGACTGGACTTGAAATACTTTACAGAGATTAATGTTCTATTTGATGAAGGTCCAGACCAATAAATTGTGTGCAAAATTCCAGATCCTATGCTGACATTCATTTATTTAGAATAATTATTCTAACCTTGAAAAATGCGGTGTCTATTCTAGGAGGGGGGATTCACCAATATTTTTGAATTTCCTCCCTATTTTTTCAGAGGCAGGGGGACAATTTTACATAGAGAAAGAAGGAAAAAAATCAACAAAATGTAGTATCTTTTTGAAAAAAATCCTCCCTGCTTTTCAAATCCTAGAATAGACACTGAAAATGAAATGCTTTTCACTCAAGACCGGGCTACAAATAGCACAAAAATGCGATTTCCAATTTATTTCTGAGTTTATTTAATTCTTTATTATCTTTTGCATATCTTTCTGTCGAAAGTGCCTCAGCAGGTCTATGTCAGAAAATCTAATGAGCCACGTCACGACAAAACCAACATAGTGCGTTTGCAACCAGCATGGATCCAGACCAGCCTGCGCATCCGCGCAGTCTGATCAAGATCCATGCTGTTCGCTATCAGTTTCTCTACTTGTTATAGGGTCTGTAAGCGAACAAATGATGCGCAGGATGGTCTGGATCATGCTGGTCGCAAAGACATTATGTTGGTTTTGTCGTGATGCGGCTCAAATTTTCTTTTGAAACTTTTAGGCCTCAGTTGTGTCCCTTTAAAGCAGCACGCCTCCAGATACATGCTATTTTCATGAAAATTGAGAAAATGCATAAAAAGGTGAAATATTATGAAGAAAACGAAGGTAATATATTTCATGTTGCAAGCAGCTGCAAGTACAACCCATAATTATAAATCAACAAAAAGAAGTCAAAATGTGCAAAAATAGCCCTTAATTACTGCGTTACTAATTGCAGTAGAAAATTTTAATATGGTGAAAAATACTTCAAAATTGGTCAAAAATCGCACAAATTGTAACAAATAATACCAAACAGTTTTTGAAAAATAAAAACGGTAGTATTTCTTAGGCCTAAATGATTATTGGCCTGTAGTTTTTTTTCGCAATATTTTTGGGAGGCTTAGGACAAGCCTTTTGAATTTGGAAATAATAGTAACATCTATGTAAGCAGAAGGGTACCTTAGTAACCTAATTAATTGGCTGACATATATAAGTGATTATGTTAATTATGTCCATTGATTTACATGTAACAGTAAGTAAATGATGTGTTAATTACATGTAAAATTAAGTAAATGATGTATTAATTAATGGTAATTAATATTAGCTAGTTGATTGATAGGGTCTGCTACAGTACATATACATCATTAATTTTTAAGATGGTGACTTAAAGCTACATGTACATGCCTCCATATGAGTCAAAATATTTCAATAGAATCAAACTTGAGAAAAATGTACTAGTAGTAAGGTAAATTAAAAAGTTTCAAGATTCTGACAATAATATTTTACATATTATGTGCGATTAATGACTGATTTTTCAGTAATTTACAAATATATTTCTACGGCGTTACGCAGTAAAGGCTATTTAAGCGTATTTTGACCACTTCTTGGTAATTTACGTGGTTTGTAAGTGCCATTGATAATGTGTAAATTGTTTCTTTGGTTACTTCACAAAATTATGCTGTTATATACATTTTCAAAATTTTCATGAACATAAGCATGAATCTGGCGGCATGCTGCTTTAAGTTACTACAACACATGTTTATTAAAACTGTTTGGTTACACATATGTATTCCAAATTATATATTTATCCTCTGTCAATCAAGCATAAAGTCTACAGTAGTTAACTTTCTGTTTATTACGTCAGTAGGCCGAGGCTAGATTGTAAAATCAGGAAGCTAAATTATTTGATTATAATAATTATGTAATTTATTTGGACGGATTTCCCCCGAAAAATATTTGCATATAGGTAACGAGTGCGAACTAAAAAAACTATTGAAGATTACTTTTAAGAATGTGAAAAAAATGCACTCCATCAGTAAATGGTTGCCAACAAATGTGAACTAAAAATATTGAAGAAGTCAGAATGTGTAAATTGCCGTCCATCAGTAAAAAAACAAACCTCAAGTACTTTGATTATTAAAAATGGCTGTATTTTCACTCCTGTGCCAAGGTTTATATATGATTACATGTATATATATACACCTCTATATTTGTATTATATGGGATAGGAAGGGAACATAGGTACAAGTATCTTATGATGACATTCATTACCTAGCAGTAAAAGCATTTTCAAGGCCTGGCATAATATATTCACCGTGTCTGTAAACGTGTTATTACATAGGACATGATAACACGTTTACAGACAGGTTGACTTTACCCCATTTTGTTGTGTATTGTGTGTATATTATTATTTTTGGGAAGTTTATTCTTATAGTGTATTTTTAGTGTTTATTTCACATGTTTTGGAATTTTTTTTCTAATTGACTGGGAATTAGTATGTTTTTGGTGTTTATTTCATGTTTGGGAAGTTAATATACTAAATATTTGGGAATTAGTGTGTTTGGGTTTTTATTTTATGTATGGGAAGTTAATTCTTATTATTTGGGAATTTGTGTACAGTGTTTATTTCTTATGTTTTGAAGTTTAATATTCTAATTGACTGGGAATTAGTTTTGTGTGTATATTTACAATGTATGTTTGGGAAGTTACTTTCAATTGTTTGGGAATTAATGTGTTTTGGTTGTTTATTTCATGTTTGGGAAGTTTATTATAATTGATTGGGAATAAGACAGTGTGTTTTCATCTGAGTGTTTATTATAAGTTTATTCAAAAATTGTTTTTGTGTTTCATTTGTGAATGTAGCGGAATTTTATTCTATGTTAAACCTTTTGGGTGTTTATTCTTATTATTTTGTGGCTTTTAAGTTTTATCAGAGACATAGATATGTTATCTATGTCTCTGGTTTTATCTATTGAAAAGCAATGTTACAAGCCTGCAGTGTTAAACTAATCTGCCCCAACCAAAAGTGGTTAAGCCAATAATTTTAAATTAAGTTCTGCAAGGGAGAGATGTCATTATATTGTCAGACCTTCTTGTACTGTAAAAGACATGTTCATTACAATTATACAAACAAAAAGTTTATCTTGGAATGTCACGTAAAACATGATTTTTGTTCTTCTTCTCTGATTTCAGTTTGAATAACGCTCGATCACAATGTCTGACGTAGAATTTTTGCAGCGGTCTACTAGCAAGGACGTGGATGTCGACCTTGAAAACTTGGATGATTTACTGGCTCAGCTGACGGCAGAGGAGTTAGATGAGTTGAATGGTGATTTCGACCCTGACGTAAGTTACGATATTTTTTCTTGTGGTACGCTGAAGAAGCTTGTGGTTCAAAACAATGCTATTTAATTAATTGGCTGCCAAATATTTCGGTTTTTAACTCGACCTTTCAAAGTATAGGGGGCGCTATAATAATTAAAACATTTATTATAATCAGTAATTACATTCACCCAAGTGTCGTAATTACACTTCTGGGGGTCATAAAATTTTGAGTGCAAGTTACTGTAGTATTTCCAAAGCTTTTGGCGGGAATAGATTGAAACTTCACACACTTATTTGAAAACATAATAGAAGTTCACTGTCCAAAGCCCATAACTCTTTACATGTATTTTGACTTAATAAATTATGACCGTTTTTGAACTTAAAAAACTCTACATTTATAATTCAGGCTTTTGTTTTACTGTTAGTATCAATTATTAAGCACTGAGAATAGTCAAGTTTTTTCCCTGTTTCTATGTCTCTTTTGTTCTTTGACTTTGTTGATGCCTTGTGTGACTAAATAATGACAGTTCAAACCCCACCCATCCCCAACACTACCCACCTACTTATATAAACATACTTTGACGATAGACTTTTGTTAATTTGTGTAAAGTTTATTGCATTTAACAAGTCTTGCCAATATATATATATATTAAGTTCATTCGTCACCTGTGACTCGCCTCTCACTTCTGTAGGTTCGAGCCATGCCAGTGTCTTTGGATCCTTTATGTGACAATGTGAGAAAGCTATCCAGCTAGCTTTACAGAACGTCAGTGCTTCTACTCGGAGTGAGGTTTCCTGTTTGTGCCTAAAATAGGAGTAATGTAGAGAAATGGGTCTGAGGTTACCTCCACCAGTAAAGCTGAAAAGTCGCCATATGATCTATAGTGTGTTCATGGGATGGTAAACCCAACAACAAAAACAACAACAACAAAAAGAATCATTTCTCACATGTGATCAGTATTGGTTAATATTTTGGATACATTTTTTGTATGTCAGAAGTACTGTATTATACTGGGTGATATTAATTTATCACTGAACTCCTGATCATTACTTGAGTACCTGAGAGAAAATAAAGTCCTGTTCTGTTTTGTTACTACATTAAGGTATACGGGATACCAACATAAGTTTATATTTACCTATTCCCCTGCATTTTGAAATGACCCTTTAAAGCTTAAAGATAAAGTAATCTCTGATCATCTTTGCGTAAAAATTCTTGTTGCAGAAATTTATTGAAATCTAGGAAATTCTTACTGAAATTGTCGAATTTGAAAGATAGAATGTGCATACTTTGATTTGGAAGCTGCAATCCATGTTATTGGTCATGTTAATTTTGGTTCTTTCTGAAGAAAAAAACAAAACAAAACTGCCAGTTTTTTTACTGACACTATAATTATGTAGTAATAATGTGTTTACCTGTTATGTTGTAAACTTTTGTTTTTTTTGTTTGTTTGTTTCATTTTATGCCTTTTCCCAACAGTATTTCAGTCATATAGCCTAACCATTGTACCTGGAGAGTTACACCAGTGCTAGACCACCTTCCTCCACGTTAAACTACCAAAGCATCTCCCAGGGATCGAACCTATGCCAGAGAGGTAACTGGATTAGAAGTCATCGACTCTAACCACTTGACCACGGAGGCGGTTAAACACACATCTGACATTACATTTAAAAAGGTACTATAAAACAATTATCAGTATTTTCAAATATCAACTTTCGGCCTAATTTGTGTATTATAATCTTTAAGCAAATTGTTTTCAGAACTCTTTCCTGCCACCATCGGAGCGTATGAAGTCTCAGACGGATAAGAGCCCATCCGGACCGTTCAGTCGTAAGAAACTGCTCGACTTTCTCGAAAAGAAGGCCAAGGATGAGAAGGATTGGGAAAACATAAAGCAGTACGTGAAAAAGGCTCCAGGTATGTTATGTCATAGGCCAGTGTTGAACTAGTTGAATTTCTTAAATGGACTTCTCTTAAGCTTCTATTTTTAGAACTTTCTATTATTAATTTTGGGAATGTCAAGATAGAAAATTTAAATTTCCGCGACCATCATCTTCATGGTGGTAATGTCGGTTGCTGAATGATTGTATGCAAAAGCAGTTTCTATAAAGAGTACATATTTCTCTTTTTCACATACTCGTGTTGATTTTACGACTCTGTAAAAATGGTTTTGCACGGCCGAGCATTCATTTGATATGACGTCATTTGAGTTAAAGCAATCATAGCATAAGGGCGCCCAAAATGTTAAAGTTACGCTATAGGCGCGTCAATGAAAATTGATTGTTTTGCACTTTATACAGTCTTTGTTTCGGATATGTGATAAATAGAATATTATACTTGTGTAGGTTCGTTACTGAATTTATTGAACTCGTTGAATGAAATATTTTGCTCACCAAAGGCTCGCATGATATAATTTGATTCAACTTGTTCAATAAATTCAGTATTGAATCTACACTAATTTCTTATCCTCTATGAATCATAAAAAACACGATAAAATGCAATACAACACTGGCTAATATAGCTTCACTGTCACTTTATCTATAAACTGTTTGTAACAAACAAATGCAAGCATTGGTACAACAGTTACTAGAGGTATACAACAGGTGTTAATAAAAGTTCATATTAATTAACTAAACACTTACCCTAAAGTGATGATGATGAATTTAAGTGACATTGATATAATGATATTAGTTAAAACTGTAAGAGTTCTTTATAACAACATAAGTACAATTACTGAAGAGCCTGGGGTTCTTTCGCCAAGTGATTTAAGATTAGAAACTTAGCTGCACTTTCAATGCCCTGCCTCTTTTTGGTTCAAGTCCATAAAATCTTGTATATTTTTAAGCGACAGATGAAAGGTTTATTTATATCTACAGTACTCTACATATATACCATCATCAAAGGCCCTGGGGTTCTTAAATTTGAAAGCACTGTGAATTGCCCCACCTCTTTAAGATAGAAAAGATATATATATTATATATATATGTAACTATATACTCAAACCAGTAAGCAAGTCATCAATTCTCAATTGATGGTAAAGGGAATTTTTTCTATTTATTCAAAAATTGAAAGCCAGTTTTATCATTGTAATAGATGCTTCATTCAGTTTTTTAAATGTTCAAAGATTTTTGATAGTGTTGACAGGGGCGTATCATGTTGGGTGGTCAGGGTCTGATCCAAGTGTCTATGACCAATTCAACCAGTGTTGTCCGTGATCAGCTGACACATTTAAGTTTTAACAGTATTTTTAGAAACAAAATATAAATAAACATAATGTAGACCTAAATCTGTTTTCTAATCAAAGGCCCATTATGCCCCCTGAAATGAGTTCATTTTTATTTCTCAAAAGCTTCTTTAGTAAATTTTGGTGTCCTAAAATATTTTCCTAATAATACTCATTCACTAATTACCTGACCTATATTTTGCAACTGGTGGCTTTTTGCAATGGTGTTATGAACAGATTAATTTGCCGTAAGCAAGGTTAAGTATATAATGTACATTGTATTTAACAAGAAAGTGTGACTCAGACTGAGCAAACAAAAATTTTAAACAAATTACAATCATGAATGTATAAAACATAGTCTACTAAAAATGTAAAGCATTTATGTGATATGTTTAACCGAATAAAAATTATTTCAAGTTTTTCATATTTTCTTCTCAATATTATTTTTGAAACAAATCATTAACAAGTAATCACATATATCTTATCTAGTTATGTTTTCTAGTGTACCTTAAAGGGGCTCCACTGAGGTCCATAAGGCCTAAAAACATAAAATTTGAAAATCTTACAAATATGAAGTGAATCATTTAGAATGGAAAAAAACTGCAAAGGATAACAAAGTAAAATACTCAGAATTAAATAGGAAATAGATTTTTATTCAATTCATTTTATTCAATTGGTTGAAAAGTGTTTGCAACAATTTTCATTTTTGGATCATTTTCAACAATATAGATGATTATCATGGAAAAAGAGATGAAGGAATTAACACAAGTTATTGTTCCAGACTAACATCGATTAGTATTCAAATCTCAGAAAGATATTCCAAGTCCAGTCATGTCAAAAAACCTCAATGGAGTCCCGTTAATTTATGAAAAATATTTATTTTCACTATGAGAGGATTTTAGAAAATAAATTGCAAAATTTAACTTTGGTAATATGACTGTATTGATAATTTATTTCATGAATAAAGTTACTAACAATTGGTCCTGCATTGTGCATCAGTTTAACTATACAGATTTATATTTTGTTATTCTGCACATTTGTAACATTGCTTTTCATTGGATCTTGATGCTCATATCAACCCGGCAGCTGTTCATTTATGAAGAAGTTTCACTTTTTTCTTTTCAAATAAACGAAGTTAACTGTATTATTATTAAATTCGTTCTTAAGATTCTTAATAGGTTATATAGTTGTTTGGGCTATATAATGCAAAACAATTGTTTATATAGGGCCATATAACCACTGAAAAAAATCTGTTTAACTAATACCGGTAATGTAGAAGTATGTAGTGTGAATGATATGAGTATAATTTGTGTTTAACCATGCATGCATTGTTGAAGATTATTATAAGTTCAGCTTGTTTCAAATTAAAAAAATAATCAAAGCATGAATATAGTCTAATATGGAGCTGCATTACTACATGTATATGAGTTTATTTACAAGAAAATACATTTGTGCAAAAAAAGGGACTTAAAAATGAGATAATTATTGTGTACACAAAAGATAATTAACTTGTATAAAAGCGAAAGTTATTTGTGAACAACAGATTTATAATTTGAAATCAAAAGATGGTTTATGTGTACCATACAAATACACATTTTATATGTACATGAGAGATAAAAGTTAAATGTTCATAAGAAATATTTGAGCGGCGTCACGACAAAACCAACATAATGGGTTTGCGACCAGCATGGATCCAGACCAGCCTGCACATCCGCACAGTCTGATCAGGATCCATGCTGTTCGCTATCAGTTTCTCTACTTGTCATAGGGTTTGTAAGCTAACAGCATGGATCCTGATCAGACTGCGCGGATGCGCAGGCTGGTCTGGATCCATGCTGGTCGCAAACCCATTATGTTGGTTTTGTCGTGACATGGCTCATTTTATGTTCTACATGTGGCTCCTAATAAGTAGTATAACTCGTAAGCATATTTAAGAGTATAATTGACATAAGCTTTTGCAGTAAACAAACTGTATAATTATGCAGTATTCATTTCATTTGTAATCCTAGGCATTGGAAAATGATTTAGTATTATGATCTTCAGATATAACTGCATGACCATTGTTCAATGTCTGTATTATCATTTGAGATGCGTCACAACAAAACCAACATAATTGGTTTGCGACCAGCATGGACCCAGACCATCCTTCACATTGGCGCAGACTGGTCTGGATCCATGTTGGTGGCAAACCCATTATGTTGGTTTTGTCGTGACACGGCTCATTTTGTATGTGTGAAAAGTTATTATATATTTACTTGAGTTATTGCCCTTGTTGTACTAGTTTGATAAGAGGAACACACTTTCTGATTAATCTGTGTAAAAATCACTTTTTGCCCTTGTTACTTGTGGGATATGACCAACATGCTTGCTGATTTACCTGTGTGAATATCACATAGTTATTTGCCCTTGTTACATGTAGGATAAGACCAATTCGCTTGCTGATGTACATGTGTAAATATCACATATTTGCCCTTCCCTTACCTGTGTTTGTCCAACAATATAGCTTTGTGTGATATTAGTCATATACATGTATTTATATGCTTGCTTGTTAATTAACCTGTTTGAATATTTAGCCTTGAACTCTTTTTTACCTGTTTACACAATGTTGCATTTTAACATGACATTGTATATAATAACTGTGTGATACTGCAGTCACATGACTTGTCACATGATTTTCCCCCTATGTGCATTTTGTGCATGCCCCTCACACTAACCTACGCATGTCTCTACATTATCTACAGGTGACTCAAACGATGTTTCAGAGAAACCATGGAAACCGAAGGAAGTGAAGAAAACCAAAGAAGAAGAAGAGATCGACACGGAATGGGACGATATTCTACAACAGGCTACAGAAGACGAGCTCGTCGATTTGGCAGGTATCTTATTTCTTTACTATGTCATATTCTTTATAGTGTGTTAGGCTGCTGCAACTGACTGGATAATAATAGACAAAATAAAAAAAAATTCTGTAGTAAAACTGTAAAATAACTTCATTTCCAAAGTTAAAAGACCATTATGAAAATTTGCTGTCACAGTCAATCATACCAGTAGCTCTTTAACTGTTGTCTATACAAGTTTGTCCCTCATGTGGCTGAGGGTTGCCTTAAACAGTTTTAGGCATCAGAATTGCAACCACCTTTTTCACTTTTCATGATCATATGAGGCGACAAAATGAGCTTGAATTACTGGAGTCTATGCATCTCTTGGCTCCTGCAGGTGAGGTGGTTGTGACCCAGGTGTTGCTGTAAGTTCGTAACACCAGAGATTAGCCAAAATCATATTTCCTGTTTTGGTGCCATATGACACTAAACTGTGTTGGTGTGTCAACAAACCAAACAATTCAAACATGTTCGTGAATTTCAAACGAGATTTTGACAACAACAAAAAAAGTTTGTATGAAGAAATGATTCCATTTCATTCAGTGCTTCAGTGTCACATTTATTACACAGGCTCCAACCTTCCAGGCCTTAAAAAATAGGTCAACAATCTTTCTTTTTTCTCAAGTGCGATCATCGTAACAACTGTTTTCATATTATATTTCAGCCGTTCTTGGTTTTCATGGCATGTTGAATCAGACCCAGTTTTATGCATCGGAACGAGACGAGAAACTTGAGGGAGGTGGATTCGCAGGTAAGACTTTTTTTGTGTGAAAATTGTAAAACCAGTCTAAAATCTAAAACATTCTATTGGCTATTTTGATTTTTGAGATCACATGCTCCATTTAGTTAAAATTGTAAAACCAGTCTAGCAATCTTAAGCATTTGATTGGCTCTTTGAGATCACATGCTCATTTTTGTTAAAACGAAAAATCCAGTCTAAAAACTCTAAAATTTCTATTGGCTTATTTTGGAACATATGCTCAATTTGTCAAAATTGTAAAACCAGTTTATTAATCTTAAGCATTCAATTGGCTCTTTGAGATCACATGCTCATTTTTGTTAAAATTGTAAGCCAGTCTAAAATCTAAAACATTCTATTGGCTATTTTGGAACATATGCTCAATTTTGTCAAAATTGTAAAACCAGTCTAGCAATCTTAAGCATTCGATTGGCTCTTTGAGATCACATGCTCATTTTTGTTAAAATTGTAAACCAGTCTTAAATCTAAAACATTCTATTGGCTCTTAGAGATCACATGCTCATAACCAGTCTAACATTTCAAACATATTATTGGCTCTTTTAGAACTCATGCTCATTTTTGTGAGAATTGTGAATCAGTCAAGCATTATAAACATATTATTGGCTGTTTTGGATATCATACTCATTTTTGTCAAAATTGTAAACCAATCTTAAAAGGTTACATATTCAGGGTTTTTTTTAGAGTTGTAAACCAGTCTTACAATTAAAAACATTTTATTATTAAATTTATATCAGAACTAGAATATTCAGTAATTTTTAGCTTGACTGTTTGAAGAATATGGAGAGCTATTGTACTATTGTAATAGGAGGTCACTGTCCAAGACCCATAACTCTAACAGATTTTGCCAGAATGAGAATTATGACAATTTTTAAACTTCAAGAGGCTCTTGTTTTACTATCAAGCACTGAAAATAGTCGAGCCTACGATCCTAGTAGTAGCTCTTGTTATTTTGTGTTGAATCTGTATACTTACACATACACTTTAAGAATATTTAGTAAAGAGAGAGAAAGAAAAGAATGTTGCAAAATTTATTCAAAGCATTTGTAATAAATTGTTACTATCTTGTAAAAATGTTATATCTGCCACAGTAACTTTGCTATTGGCAATAATTTGGTAATACCAATAAAATTTCTTTGTTTTTGTCCCCCGACTTACAGGAATGGCAAAGTCAGAACAGCTCCGGGTAATCCCTTTTGAACCACCAAACATGACAGACGTAGAGGAAAGTCTGCAAAAGATAAAGGACAATGACTCAAGCCTTAAACACCTCAACCTGAATAACATAAAGGTAAGATAATGTACGAAATATAACTTTGACTTTTGTCTGTGATCTTTGTCCAGCTGAAATGTAGGAAATATAACCTTGACCTTTGTCCAGCTGAAATGTAGGAAATGTAACCTTGACCTTTGTTCAGCTGAAATGTAGGAAATATAACCTTGATCTTTGTCCAGCTGAAATGTAGGAAATATAACCTTGACCTTTGTCCAGCTGAAATGTAGGAAATATAACCTTGACCTTTGTCCAGCTGAAATGTAGGAAATGTAACCTTGACCTTTGTTCAGCTGAAATGTAGGAAATGTAACCTTGACCTTTGTCCAGCTGAAATGTAGGAAATATAACCTTGATCTTTGTCCAGCTGAAATGTAGGAAATATAACCTTGACCTTTGTCCAGCTGAAATGTAGGAAATATAACCTTGATCTTTGTCCAGCTGAAATGTAGGAAATATAACCTTGATCTTTGTCCAGCTGATATGTAGGAAATATAACCTTGACCTTTGTCCAGCTGAAATGTAGGAAATATAACCTTGATCTTTGTCCAGCTGAAATGTAGGAAATATAACCTTGACCTTTGTCCTTGACTTACTTTGTCCAGCTGAAATGTAGGAAATATAAACCTTGACCTTTGTCCAGCTGAAATGTAGGAAATATAACCTTGACCTGTGTCCAGCTGAAATGTAGGAAATATAAACCTTGACCTGTGTCCTTGACCTTTGTCCAGCTGAAATGTAGGAAATATAACCTTGACCTTTGTCCAGCTGATATGTAGGAAATATAACCTTGACCTTTGTCCAGCTGATATGTATGAATTATAACCTTGACCTGTGTCCAGCTGATATGTAGGAAATATAACCTTGATCTTTGTCCAGCTGAAATGTAGGAAATATAACCTTGACCTTTGTCCAGCTGATATGTAGGAAATATAACCTTGACCTTTGTCCAGCTGAAATGTAGGAAATATAACCTTGACCTGTGTCCAGCTGAAATGTAGGAAATATAACCTTGACCTTTGTCCAGCTGAAATGTAGGAAATATAACCTTGACCTTTGTCCAGCTGAAATGTAGGAAATGTAACCTTGACCTTTGTTCAGCTGAAATTTAGGAAATATAACCTTGACCTTTGTTCAGCTGAAATTTAGGTAATATAACCTTGACCTTTGTTCAGCTGAAATGTAGGAAATATAACCTTGACCTTTGTTCAGCTGAAATTTAGGTAATATAACCTTGACCTTTATGTTTGACCTTTGTACTGCTGGAACTCAATCTGGATGTTATATTGATACATATAATCTGACCTCTCAGAGAAGTTAAAGGTTTGAAATGAAACAGTTGTAACCGTTAAAATATGAAAGAGAAATACAGAGGATATTGAATGAGTGTAAGTTCAATACTGAATTTATTGCACAAGTTGAATAAAATCATATTATGCGAGCCTCTGGCGAGCATTATATTATTTTATTCAACGATTGCAATAAATTTAGTAATGAAATTACAAGAATTTAATATTCTATTTATCACATACCCAAAATAAAGATTGTTAAAGTGAAATGAGAGTCATTTTTCATTGACGCATCTGTAGTATAACGATAACATTTAGCGCGTCTTTACACTATGTTTGTATATCGCTTATGACGTCACGTCAAAATATATGCACGGCCGTGCAATACCTAATTTACGGAGTCACAAAATCGGGCATGGGTGTGTGATAAACAACTGTTTTGCATTCAGAACTTTTTATCCTGCTATCGTCAATATGTTATGTCCTAATATGTGTGCTTGATAAAGCCTTGTCGGATAAACTTGGCTATCTCTGTTTATTAGGTCACATTGTCAAGCAATGTGTATGAATATAGACTAAAATTATGTTCCTTTTTTTGCTGTATGTTAATGTAACTTGTTGTTCATGATTTTTCAGAATATTTCCTTTGAGAGATTGGAGGCCATCTGCGAGGGTCTGAAGACAAACACAAACCTAGAAATCCTTGAAATGGCCAGTGTTGCTATGACTGATCGAGTTGCCAAGGTAACCAAGATATTTTTGCTTTATTGATATATGTTGTGTTTTTTTTGGGGTGGGGGGGTTAAATTTTGAAAACCCTGGTTATTAGTTGGAAAATGCCAATTCCAGTCTGTCAGGTTGGCATCAAACAGGTGGTTTCCTTTCGATAACTAGAGTTTGCAACAAGATATTGTAATGAATCTTAGTATACAGCAAGCTTCTGTGGAGATCTGGCTTAGAGTCAAGGGCACTGTTACTAAAAATAGAAAAATGGTTTCCAGAGAGTTGTTTTTACAATGCAATAGGCAGAGTTTAGAGAGCACATTTCATTTATTTGTTACATCGATCCAAGGCTTGTGACACTGCATGCATGTCTGATGTGAAGACCAAATAAACAAGTCAATTTATATAACGTGAAGTACAAGTTTGAAACACTGAAATATTTTGGACAACTTCAGAGTAGTTCAGGCAATTAAAATAAAACTGAAATGGGACAAGTCCACTTGAGAAATTTAGCAGGTCATAATGGTTGATATTTTTCTTAATTTCTTACTTTTTGTCGATTTGATGTTAAAGGAACTCCACTGAGGTGCAAAAGCCTAAAACTGAAAATTTGTATTTCTTGCAAAGATCAGCTGGGACACTTTAAGCTAAGGATATGGAAAAGAAGATTAAGAAATTAACTATAAATCATATTTTTTTGCTATTCTTAGCCTGATTTGTATTTGGGGCCATTTTTCACTATTTAAAGAATAATAATTCTTGAAAAACGGAATGATCAAATGATCTGAAATTTTGCACAAAAGTTATTGGTGAAAACTTATGTCAAATGGAAAATAATTCCAAAAAAACTATTCAAGTCCCATCTTTTGAACACACCTCAGTGGAGTCCCTTAAAGTTACTATGCACATTTTATATTTTGTTTCAGAAACTTGCAGAGGGTCTGTCAGAAAACAAAACATTGAAAAAGTTAAATATAGAGTCCAATTTCGTAACTGGAGAACTTATCGTGGAAATCTTGAAAGCAATAAATGTACATAAGACATGCACGGAATTTCGTGCAGCTAACCAGGTATGTCAATATAATTAACATTTTGATAGAGCCTCTTCTGCATAGCACAATATGGAGAGCATCAGATTTGAAATATAAGGATTACAGGTTAAAACCTCTGCCGAGGTGAAAGGTTGCAGGCTTTGAATATCCTAGACCTGTGTGACCATGAGGTGAAGGTTGCAAGCTTTGAATCCTAGACCTGTGTGACCATGAGGTGAAGGTTGCAGGCTTTGAATCCTAGACCTGTGTGACCTTGAGGTGAAGGTGGCAGGCTTTGAATCTTAGACCTGCGTGACCTTGAGGTGAAGGTGGCAGGCTTTGAATCCTAGACCTGTGTGACCATGAGGTGAAGGTTGCAAGCTTTGAATCCTAGACCTGTGTGACCATGAGGTGATGGTCGCAGGCTTTGAATGTAAGACCTGTGTGACCTTGAGGTGAAGGTTGCAGGCTTTGAATCCTAGACCTGTGTGACCATGAGGTGAAGGTGTCAGGCTTTGAATCCTAGACCTGTGTGACCATGAGGTGAAGGTTGCAGGCTTTGAATCCTAGACCTGTGTGACCTTGAGGTGAAGGTGGCAGGCTTTGAATCTTAGACCTGCGTGACCTTGAGGTGAAGGTGGCAGGCTTTGAATCCTAGACCTGCGTGACCTTGAGGTGAAGGTGGCAGGCTTTGAATCTTAGACCTGCGTGACCTTGAGGTGAAGGTGGCAGGCTTTGAATCTTAGACATGCTCAACTTTGAGGTGAACTTCAGCATGGTGCATGCTTTGGATCTAAGACCTGCATGACCTTGAGCAGGCTTTGAATCACTTGCAGGCAAGAATTTGTTGGTCAAAATCTATTCAGTGAAACATTGAAATATTTCAAGTGAAGATATTAACAAGTAAAAGTGTAAATGGTTTATGTATTTCTGTGATTGACCCCGAATCTGCTGAAACTGCAAGTGAATAGCCTTTTTGCCACCGGTATAGAGCCAAGGCCAGCCAGCACATCTGATCTTTACAATCTGACCAGGCTCTATACTGGTTGTGGCTCAGTATAAGAAACAGTGCAGTTCAGGTATTACTAAAAACATAAAAAACGTAAAAAGATTTTAATTTTTTTTAATTCTTTTATATATTATATATATATCTATATATATTTTACATCTTTTCCTTTGCAGAAACAAGAGGTACTTGGTAATAAAATAGAGACCAAAATTATAAAACTGGTAGAGGAGAATGAAAAACTTATGACTCTCGGATTGGCATTTGAATTCCCAGAGACCCGAGTTAAAGTAACAGCAAAACTACAGGACAATTACGATCAGAGTAAGCATTAGTTTATATTATTTTTATGCCTTTGTGTCATAAGATGAGGAGGGCATGTTGTTTATGGTCTGTCTGTCGGTTTGTTTGTTTGTTTGTCTGATTGTTTTTTTGTCACCAAACATAAACTTTGATCATAACACTTAAGTCCCTACACAAATGACAGTATCCAAAAATCATAAGTACATGCAACTGGATGCACTGGATTTGTTAAATTCACTTACAGGTCATGCGTCAAAGTTAACTTCACATGAGCATGGCACTTCACTATACCCACAGGTGGAAGTGGTTGTGACCTATAAACATTAAATTTTAATAGTGGCCATCAGACAAGTGGTCCTTTTATTCAGAGCCTTCACATTTCTCAAATGTAGGCACCTTGATGTCCTTTACCTGTAATACACACTCAGAGGTCACTGGGTCAAGGTCACCTTACCTCTAAATAATAGCCATGGTCATAAAACAGTAGTTAATTCAAACACTGCATTCTCATTGCACAGGTGTGTACACTACCTTTCTCACCAAGTGTTAGGTCACAGGGACAAAGTTCAATGTCAAGTGGGTCACACACTTTCCATTCACCCCTAAACCCCAACCCACCCACATCACCAATTAACCCTGGCCCCATACACACTGCAGTCATTCAAATTTTTTGATACTTTGTAGGACAGTATAGTTCCTATTTTATTCTTTCATCTTTAGTGTGAAAGGCTCTCAAAACTTGTCACTCTTTGATGAAAGAAAATAGATACATGGGTATATTATATATTGTTATATAGTTATAACTTTTGGCATTCACTTTTATGTGGAAAAGTTATTGTTAGACAACTTGGCAAAAGTGTTGATAGGATTGATGTTAAAATACTGTTGTATCTGATGAGTTATGCAGGGAAGTTATCAGTTGCCTGAGTTATGAAATAAATGGTATAGTTATAGTTATGGCATTTGATTTTACGTAAATACAGAATTTATTTTAAAGGCACATAATGCCTCAGAAATTAAATAGAATATTTCCTTCTGTAAAGAGGGCAAACATGAGTTTTATAACATTTAATTATAAAAGAAAGTAGTGCTGAATGTGAAATGGAAAAAAAAACAAAACAAGTAAATCAAGAGAAGGAGAGAACACACGTCAAACATAAGGATGTTTTTTTAAACTGGTTTATTCTAGGATCTACCAGTTTAAGTCTTTCAATGATACATGATTACTGAAGTACTTAAAAAAAAAGCAACAGAATGTTACTGTGTATGTTACTATAAATAGACATACAAATGAGTTTTTCTGGGCAAGATGCCAAGTTATTGTCCATTTTAAAACATTTCAAATATTGATTAACCACAGACCATACCTATGTCAATATCCATTTTTAGCTCGACTTTTCTATGAAAAGGGGAGCTATCCTACTCGCCCCGGCGTCGGCGTCGGCGTTGGCGTCACACCTTGGTTAAGTTTTTCGTACCACCCCACTTTATTTCAGAAGTATTACAAGTATGGCTTTGAAACTTACCATACTTGTTCACCATCATAACCTCCATCTACAGACAAGAGTACATAACTCTGTCAAGGTTTTTGACAGAATTATGGCCCTTTTTTGACTTAGAAAGTGTATTGAGCTTGGTTAAGTTTTTTGTACCACCTCACTTTATTTCAAAACCATTGGAGGTATTGCTTTGAAACTGACCATACTTGTTTACCATCACGACCTTCATCAACAGACAAGAGGACATAACTCTGTCAAGGTTTTTGACAGAATTATGCCCCTTTTTGACTTAGAAAATACATTGAATATGGGTAAAATCTATTACTTGTATTATAAGGTAACTATAATACTTTCACATACAAAGTCAAATCTATATATTATGCTGATTGTACAAAAATATACTGCTTCCTTGGCATAGATTTCTTGAAAAATTATGTTATTATGTCATTTACCAAGGTGTTCTGAGTGACGTAAAAATACCTTATTCTCTCAAAGTGGGTTTAATACTATTAAATTTATTTAAGGCTCAACTCAGTTTTTTAGCTCGACTTTTCTATGAAAAGGGGAGCTATCCTACTCGCCCCGGCGTCGGCGTCGGCGTTGGCGTCACACCTTGGTTAAGTTTTTCGTACCACCCCACTTTATTTCAGAAGTATTACAAGTATGGCTTTGAAACTTACCATACTTGTTCACCATCATAACCTCCATCTACAGACAAGAGTACATAACTCTGTCAAGGTTTTTGACAGAATTATGGCCCTTTTTTGACTTAGAAAGTGTATTGAGCTTGGTTAAGTTTTTTGTACCACCTCACTTTATTTCAAAACCATTGGAGGTATTGCTTTGAAACTGACCATACTTGTTTACCATCACGACCTTCATCAACAGACAAGAGGACATAACTCTGTCAAGGTTTTTGACAGAATTATGCCCCTTTTTGACTTAGAAAATACATTGAATATGGGTAAAATCCACTTATTGCCTTAACCCTTTGAGATATTGCTTTGAAACTTTTAATGCTATTTCACATCATTACCCCATCTGTACGCAAGAGAAGGTAACTCTGTCAAGGATTTGTTTTAAAAATTAAGGCCTTTTATCGACTTAGAATTAAATTTATTTAAGGCTCAACTCAGTTTTTTTTTCTTTCTTACCAGCCCTCTTTTGACTTAAACATTTCAAACTTTGCTGCAGTGTTCAAGGGTATCACACAATTCAGTAAAATAATTCTTCACTAAATATCTTAATGCTCATGGCCATTGTTCACTTTAAAAATACAGAGATTCTTGTATTGCCTTTTACTGCAAAAACTTTTTTTATTGGCAAGCAATAAAAAAGTCGAGCGCGCTGTCTTACGGACAGCTCTTGTTATAACATAAACCGCAATGCAGGAGTTTAATAAAGCCATTTAATAAAAACGATATTACACTAGTGTAATAATACTTTAACAGGAGGTCATTTGCGCTATATATAAACATTAGGTTAAAGCGCGCTAATGTTTGTGTTACGTTATAGGCGGGTCATTGAAAAATGACTCGTTTGAGTGTCCATAGGATTAATATCACTTTAAATGATTGTTTTGCACAAGTGAAGTTCTAACTTTAAAAGTCTTTGGTTGATTATACGCTATTATATAAAAAGAATGATGGACAAGGAAATCAACATTGTTTTCTTTTGTTTTGTTTTTCAGCAAGACGAAACAGAGTTGGGATCAAAGGAGATGTATAGACGTTAAAAATCCAGTCACACTTTTAGTCTAGAACAAATTTAGTCAATTTTTTACACAGACATAATTATATAATTTTCATACTTGTCTACGTGTGTGTGAATACAGTTGCAATAAATTTCATTACTTTCCTAGACATTATGTATTCTACCCAATAGTAAGCCATCTTTTAAAGATAACAGATACAGACGTAATGATTGTCCAATAAAAATCATTGTAACAAGAGGCAGAACTATTGTCCAATCAAAATCAGCGTAACAAGAGGCAGGACAATTGTCCAATAAAAATCAGTGTAACAAGAGGCAGAACTATTGTCCAATGAAAATCAGCGTAACAAGAGGCAGAACTGTTGTCCAATGAAAATCAGCGTAACAAACTGTATTTTACCTGTTGATAAACAAGATATCATCACCTTAGTACAGTAACGGGTTAATTTCTAATATAACTAAATAGGATTTAACCTGATACTGTACTAAGATATGTATATTTAAGAATAGGGCTGGGTATTGCAAAGAAAATTCATTCATATTAAAATATATTACATTTGTATGAACTATTTAAAATGCAAAGGTTAGACGTACAAAATGTTGAATTAAATAGTTTATCCTTTTATGTAATTGTGTTCAAATGAAACTGTTTACATCAGAGGCTTGGCCCTTTTATAAAAGTTCACAATGTGTTAAAAGTGGCATTTATATATGATGGAGTTTGAGCAACTTTATGCAAATGCCATTTTGAATTCAAGCTATATACAAGTTGAGAATATTTCTAACTTGAATAGAACATTAGGGTTTTGATGAAAAGTCCATACTCTTGATATATATTGCAATATAGAAGAAATAGTGATATAATAATTATAATACCAAATAAGATATAATTGCGATATCAAATATATTGTAATGGTTATTGCACGCCCCTAATCAAGAAAAAAGATTATATATCCTGGATTCTCTTGTTTATGATAGGTATTAGATATGACACATTGATTGTGTAATTTTAAAACAATTTCTCTGTTTATTTTTTCAGTTTTTTTCAATTATTTTCTTAAAACAAAATTACTGTAGTTTTAATTTTTTCAGTCATTTTAAATTTTTTTTAATGTGAATTGTTTTCCTGTTTATTTTTTTAAAAGTTACATCTATAGACAGATGTTTGAAGAAGAACTATGCAGAGGTGGTTTTTATATACAGTCAATCATGTCAACAAAGGTCACCCAAGGGAGTGACAAGTAATGGTCTTAATAGACAAGTGACCTTTATTTAGAGGTTACTTTGTTCCATTTTTTCACGGAAGGGTTTTTAGAAAGTGGCCTTTATTTGCAGGGTTATATTCATTCAGAGGTGGTCTTTAATACAGGTTTGACTGTAGTGTATACACAAGTTTTTTTAATAGTTTTTGGTCCATCAGTGTCATTCGATTTTGTATGGAACAAACTTTTTAGACGTAAGGATCCTTGTGAAGTTCTATAACCGGGATCAATTTTTCACATATATAATCAGGGTTTGCTTATGATGTAATTATACATTTGAAATAGCCTATGTTTACTTTACTCTATAAAAATGAAACCAGTGCAAAGATTAGCTGGCACATTCATTATCATAGGATTTTGGTCTGCTATGTTTTGGTCTGCAATTCATTCGGTAAATATTTTGAAATGTTCACTGAAAATGTTGAACGGTTTTGTCAAGATGGAAAAAAAACAAAACTGGACAAGGCTATTTTCAGATATAAAGCATGGTTTTTAAGGGTTTAAGTGATTCCATAGATGGTGATAATGGATAATGTTGTAATTTTTTGATAGGTTCTATGTTTAAGCTTTAAAGGCTGTAAGCATATACATATATCCCCCAAGCTGCTTGGGTAGGGTTTAAAATGCAAACAATAATTTATGCATGGCCATATACGTATATCCAATGATCGTAGGTTCAATGCTCAGGCCGAGCGTAATTTCTCCATCACATTTGACCTTGGACATTTAGTGTAATGGTCATTTGTTTCACACCACTGATTTAGAAATCATGTGAGAATAGTAGTTGGTCACTTGCAGAGAAACTGGTTAATACCGGTAAGCCATCCAGGAAAGCAACAAAGGTTGATAAACTGGCAAGGTATGACTGAAAAATATGTTAAAATTGGTGTTAAACAGACAGACATATTGCTGCCAAGCTTAAGCACTAGACCATTCAAAATTAGGCTATTTGAAGCACCCTCCCCCTTCTTTTTTTTTTGGATTTTGAAAAAAAAAAATTTGATGAATAAAAAATTTGAAGTAGACAAAATTTTTAGCAGAAGACAATTTTTCCTAGCATTCAAGTTTTGATTAATTTTGTTTATTGGTGCTTTATTAGGACATTTAAAACTTAGAGGCAAGTTGTTTTTGTTTTTTTTTTAAATTTTATTATTTTTAGTTTTGCTTATTGTTTATTTTGCTGCCTAGTGTATACAGTTATGTATTAGCTTTTTTATGTTATTGAAAATAATGAGTAAATAGAAAAATAAACATTTTTATCATTGTGTTAAACCGTTGCAAATTTTGAAATCAATAAAAAAAAATGTTAAGATACATAACTCATGATATTTACCTGTGATTTTTATATATATATGTATTGTCCAATTTGTTCATTTTTTTTATACTTTATAAATCTTCCATTTTTTTTCACAAATTTTGTTTGTGTAAATATATTTATTTGATACATTTTGTCCACATATATATTTTGTAGATGCATGACATTTCAAACTCAATCTATATTTTGCCTTAATGTAATTTTATCCTTGTAGAGAGTTATTTGTTTTCTCAGCTGTAAGTCAGTGCTTTCTATAAGATGGTCTCTTCTATAAGTCGGGTATGTCATTTGGTAGTCACCACTTAAGCCAATTTTCTAGACATATGGCTGAAAATTTAAAGCTTTTGCATTTAATGACATAATTATTGTAAGTGTAATTATTGCAGAAATGAATATTGTTTTCTTTAAAGGAATATTTTAACTTTTATACCTATTATAAGAACAAGATTTTTGTAATTTGACGTTTTAAAAAAACCAGTTAAAGAATGACTTATAGGTGAGGAAAATACTAAAATTTGTATGCTCAACTTCTCGTATTGAATTTAGTAGTGTGCTACCTATTATCTAAATCATAATCTGCTTTTATTACATAGGAATGTATTATCTTGAAGTATAAGCAGTTAAGGATCTCCACTGTGGTCCACTGCGGACTAAAAAAATTCAAATTTTGAAATTTTATATAAATGACTTGCGGCACTTAAAATAGAAAAATGGTAATTAGATAATAAAAAAAACTTAATCATGACTAAATTGAAAATCTTTTAGTTGTGATTCTGAATCTGATTCAAGTTTAAAAGGTTTAACGCTTTATTTTTTGTTCATTATGATTTTTTTGTAAGTTCAATACAATAATAATTAATATTTTATATCAGTGGAGTCCCTTTAATAAGTTTGCAAGTTCAATACAATACTAGTATATATCCCATATTGAGATGTAGAATATTGATTTTCATCAGCGAATTTACCAGTCGATAAAGAATGTTATTATTATTTGAAAAAATGAAATTCAAATATACAAAGATCATGTACAATTCATTAAGTGAAATAATTCTTATTCAAGAATTAATTATTTAGTATTCGTTTGTGAATCAATACAATATGTACCTAGTGAGTATAATATGCTGTTTTAGTCTTTTTTAAACTTAGTGAATTTATGTTAATTTTATTAATTTAATGATTTAGATTTCAAAAGAAAAGTACATGTAAAGTGTCACTTATGTCCAGAACAAAAATTTAAGATATTGAAATATTTATCTCAGACATGGAATCTCATACATTTGGCATAGAAATAAAAGAACCCAAATTAAAAAGATAACCAAAAAGAAAGATGTATTGAACTTTATTCATTTTTTTTTTTTTTTCAAGAAAAAGTTTTGAGTGCATTTTGAACTTAAGTGTTTTATAAATTAAGTGTTTTATTTATAAAATAGTGAAATCTATGTTCGTGAGATTGCCATATGTAAAAATCTGGTAGTCTTTTTTTTGGAAAAGGAAAAAATATAACAATAAAGCCTGATAAATGTGACTCCAAGCTTGTTGTAACTTCATAATATTTACTTGTAATAAGTCCAATATTGTTTTGATTGAAGTTTTACGTCACACCAACACAGTATAGGTCATATGGCAATGTTCAAGCTTTACTATGGAGGAAGACCTAAGGTGCCCTTCCGTGCATTATTTCTGGCACGAACAGTGACCTGAGTAGAACCAACGACGTTCTGTTTGCTAGCTGGAGTGCTTTCTCACAGGAAAGAATCCAAAGTCCCTGTCAGAATTCGATCCCATAGCGGTGATGGGCAAGTGGTTTGAAGTTAACGACCTTAACTACTCGGCCACGGATGTCCCAAGTCCAATATCTGTGTGGTAACTTGGTAATATTTACTGTGTAATAAGTCCAACATTGTCTGTGTGGTATAACCTGGCCGGGAATGACAGTGTGTGATAAAACTATAAATGACTGCATTATATTAAGTATACAATAGACTGTGTAATAAGTCCAACATTGTCTGTGTGGTATAAACCTGGCCGGGAATAACAAGTGTGTGATAAAACTATAATTGACTGTGTTATATTAAGTATACAATAGACTGTGTAATAAGTCCAACATTGTCTGTGTGGGTATTAACCTGGCCAGGAATAACAGTGTGTGATAAAACTATAATTGACTGTGTTATATTAAGTATACAATAGACTGTGTAATAAGTCCAACATTGTCTGTGTGGTATAACCTGGCCGGGAATAACAGTGTGTAATGTGGTATAACCTGGCCGGGAATAACAGTGTGTAATAAAACTATAATTGACTGCATTATATTAAGTATACAATAGACTGTGTAATAAGTCCAACATTGTCTGTGTGGTATAACCTGGCTGGGAATTACAGTGTGTGATAAAACTATAATTGACTGTGTTATATTAAGTATACAATAGACTGTGTAATAAGTCCAACATTGTCTGTGTGGTATAACCTGGCTGGGAATTACAGTGTGTGATAAAACTATAATTGACTGTGTTATATTAAGTATACAATAGACTGTGTAATAAGTCCAACATTGTCTGTGTGGTATAACCTGGCTGGGAATTACAGTGTGTGATAAAACTATAATTGACTGTGTTATATTCAGTATACAATAGACTGTGTAATAAGTCCAACATTGTCTGTGTGGTATAACCTGGCCGGGAATAACAGTGTGTGATAAAACTATAATTGACTGCATTATATTCAGTATACAATAGACTGTGTAATAAGTCTATATTATCCAGACTGTGAGAAAAAGTCTGAAGTTGATTGTGAAAGAAGTCTTAAATTGACTGTGTAATAAGTATATGATAGACTGTTTGTTTGTTTGAGTGATTGTTATATCACACGACACCGTATAGGTAATTTGGCAACGTTCCAGCTTTACTGGTGGAGGAAGACCTAAGGTGCCCTTCTGTGCATTATTTCAGGCACAAACAGTCACCTTAGTAGAACCAACAACATTCTATAAGCTAGCTGAATAGCTTCCTCATATGAAAGAATCCAAAGTCCCTGTCAGGATTCTAACCCACAGCAGTGAAGGGCAAGTGGTTTAAAGTCAAAGACCGTAACCACTCAGTCAATGACACCGCTGATAGACTGTAATAAGTCTATAATTACCTGTGTAATAAGTCTATACTTGACTATAATGAGCCAATAAATGACTGTGTAGTACATCTATAAATGACTGTGTAGTACATCTATAAATGACTGTGTAGTACATCTATAAATCACCGTGTAGTACATCAATAAATGACTGTGTAGTACATCTATAAATGACCTTGTAGTACATCTATAAATCACCGTGTAGTACATCAATAAATGACTGTGTAGTACATCTATAAATCACCGTGTAGTACATCAATAAATGACTGTGTAGTACATCTATAAATGACTGTGTAGTACATCTATAAATGACTGTGTAGTACATCTATAAATCGCTGTGTAGTACATCTATAAATGACTGTGTAGTACATCTATAAATGACTGTGTAGTACATCTATAAAATCACCGTGTAGTACATCAATAAATGACTGTGTAGTACATCTATAAATGACCGTGTAGTACATCTATAAATGACAGTGTAGTATATCTATAAATGACCGTGTAGTACATCAATAAATGACTGTGTAGTACATCTATAAATGACTGTGTAGTACATCAATAAATGACTGTGTAGTACATCTATAAATCGCTGTGTAGTAAATCTATAAATGTCTGTGTAGTACATCTATAAATGACTATGTACTACATCTATAAATGACCGTGTAGTACATCTATAAATGTCTGTGTAGTACATCTATAAATGACTGTGTAGTACATCAAATAAATGACCGTGTAGTACATCTATAAATCGCTGTGTAGTAAATCTATAAATGTCTGTGTAGTACATCTATGAATGACTGTGTAGTACATCTATAAATGTCAGTGTAGTACATCTATAAATGACTATGTAGTACATCTATAAATGTCTGTGTAGTACATCTATAAATGACTGTTGTAGTACGTTTATAAATGACTGTGTAGTACATCTATAAATGACTATGTAGTACATCTATAAATGACCGTGTACTACATCTATAAATGTCTGTGTAGTACATCAATAAATGACTATGTAGTACATCTATAAATGACTGTGTAGTACATCTATAAATGACCGTGTAGTACATCTTTAAATGTCTGTGTAGTACATCTATAAATGTCTGTGTAGTACATCTATAAATCACTGTGAAGTACATCTATAAATGACTGTGTAGTACGTCTATAAATGACCGTGTAGTACATCTATAAATTACTGTGTAGTACATCTATAACTGACTGTGTAGTACATCTATAAATCACTGTGTAGTACATCTATAAATCACCGTGTAGTAAATCTATAAATCACCGTGTAGTACATCTATAAATGACTGTGTAGTACGTCTATAAATGACTGTGTAGTACATCTATAAATGACTGTGTAGTACATCTATAAATGCCTGTGTAGTACATCTATAAATGACTGTGTAGTACATCTATAAATGACCGTGTAGTACATCTATAAATGACAGTGTAGTAGGTCTATAAATGACTGTGTAGTACATCTATAAATGACTGTGTAGTACATCTATAAATGACTGTGTAGTACATCTATAAATGACTGTGTAGTACATCTATAAATGACTGTGTAGTACATCTATAAATGACTGTATAGTACGTCTATAAATGACTGTGTAGTACATCTATAAATGACTGTGTAGTACATCTATAAATGACCGTGTAGTACATCTATAAATGACAGTGTAGTAGGTCTATAAATGACTGTGTAGTACATCTATAAATGCCTGTGTAGTACGTCTATAAATGACTGTGTAGTACATCTATAAATGACCGTGTAGTACATCTATAAATGACAGTGTAGTAGGTCTATAAATGACTGTGTAGTACATCTATAAATGACTGTGTAGTACATCTAAAAATGACTGTGTAGTACATCTATAAATCACTGTGTAGTAAATCCATAAATGACCGTGTAGTTCATCTATAAATCACTGTGTAGTACGTCTATAAATGACTGTGTAGTACATCTATAAATGACTGTGTAGTACGTCTATAAATGACTGTGTAGTACGTCTATAAATCACTGTGTAGTACGTCTATAAATGACCGTGTAGTACATCTATAAATGACCGTGTAGTACATCTATCAATGACTGTGTAGTATGACTATAAATGACCGTGTAGTACATCTACAAATGACCGTGTAGTACATCTATAAATGTCTGTGTAGTACATCTATAAATGACTGTGTAGTACATCTATAAATGTCTGTGTAGTAAATCTATAAATGACCGAGTAGTACATCTATCAATGACTGTGTAGTACGTCTATAAATGACCGTGTAGTACGTAAATAAATCACTGTGTAGTACATCTATAAATAAATGTGTAGTACATCTATAAATGACTGTGTAGTACATCAATAAATGACTGTGTAGTACATCTATAAATCACTGTGTAGTAAATCTATAAATGACCGTGTAGTACATCATTAAATGACTGTGTAATAAATCTATAAATGATTGTGTAGTACATCTATATATGACTGTGTAGTACATCTATAAATGACTATGTAGTACATCTATAAATGACCCTGTAGTACATCATAAATGACCGTGTAGTAAATCTATAAATGACCGTGTAGTATATCTATAAATGACTGTGTAGTACATCTATAAATGACCGTGTAGTACATCATAAATGACGGTGTAGTAAATCTTTAAATGACTGTGTAGCACATCTATAAATGACTGTGTAGTACGTCTATAAATGAATGTGTAGTACGTCTATAAATGACCGTGTAGTAGGTCTATAAATGACTGTGTCGTATGTCTATAAATGACCGTGTAGTACATCTATAAATGACTGTGTAGTAAATCTATAAATGACTATGTAGTACATCTATAAATGTCTCTGTAGTACATCTATAAATGTCTGTGTAGTAAATCAATAAATGACCATGTAGTACATCTATCAATGACTGTTAGTATGTCTATAAATGACCGTGTAGTACATCTATAAATTACCGTGTAGTACATCTATAAATGTCTGTGTAGTACATCTATAAATGACTGTGTAGTACATCTATAAATGTCTGTGTAGTAAATCTATAAATGACCGTGTAGTACATCAATAAATGACTGTGTAGTACATCTATCAATGACTGTGTAGTAAATCTATAAATGACCGTGTAGTACATCATTAAATGACTGTGTAATAAATCTATAAATGACTTTGTAGTACATCTATAAATGACTATGTAGTACATCAATAAATGACTGTGTAGTACATCTATAAATGACTGTGTAGTACATCTATAAATGACTGTGTAGTACATCTATCAAAGACTGTGTAGTACGTCTATAAATGACCGTGTTGTACGTCAATAAATCACTGTGTAGTACATCTATAAATGACTGTGAAGTACATCTATAAATGACTGTGTAGTACATCAATAAATGACTGTGTAG